CGCTAACAGAATAGACACGAGGAGTCTGTGTGGCACAGGGTCCCAGGAGTGGCCACGCTAACAGAACAGACATGAAAGTAATCACTCTGACGTCAAGGAAATTGTGCTGAGTTATTTTCCATTCACTTTAAAATCAATGCATGTTCTTAAACATTTGATGTCTCTTAAATTTTCATCTGTGATAGTTTTCTAACCTTTGAGAGAAAGCTAATTAGCTATTTCTGTAATATACAAGTCACACAAAGGGGAAACTTATTTTTTTAATTTCAAAAAACTTTATCTTAATTTTCCATTTAGGATAATAGGTAAATAGTAATTTTGGATATGTTCTAATGGTTTATTTGCTGTAAAACATATATTTTGAGTAAGGAATTAGCAAAAGACAATCACCAGTCAGCGTGAAGTAAGATGCTACTCTGTAAAAAGCACCGACTGCACTGTGTGGCACCACAGCTGCTGTCAGACACCCTGAGCATACTGCATACAAGCCACCTAGCTCAGCGAGGCTACTCATCCTTACTCATGACGGGAAGGCTATTGTGACCTTTCAGAAGACTCTGTCTTCTTTCTGGTTACATTTAGAGGATATAGCACAGGGGCTCTAGTATTTTTGTTGTTTTCTTAGAAACAGAAAATTCTGTATTTTAAAATCTAAATGGCACAAGTCAACTAAAACTAGACTTGAAGCTATAGAATGCTAAAATTTTAAAGGAATAGGACTGGTGAGAGGCAAAAGAAAATCTTGGACCTGGGGCCAGTAACACCTGTCTTAGCCTCAAGGAAACCAAGCTATTATTAAACTTATCACTAGAACAAAGATAGCCATATGAAAAATTAATAAACATGTGTTTTTCAGTACCAGGGAGAGTGAAGAAAAAACCCTCTTCACTTGAAAAAAAAACCCCAAAAGAAAACTTATGTAAAACAAAACAATGTGTAGTCATCATTTAGCATAGCCCCAATCTGTCAATGTTCCCGCTTCATCGCTTTTTACTATCCCTCACTCCACTCCACTTACAGGGGTGCATTTTTTAAAGCCCTCAGAGGTAACCTAGGTCTTTTCTGGGTGTTTCCATTATTTATTCTTACCCCTATGCTCTTGTTTAGCTTCACTGGCACCAAGAATAGACGGGCTCCCGTTTTTAAGGAGCCCTTTCCATTATTACGAGTACCCAGTCACTGTGATGTTATAACTACGGGGTCACTGAGGACAGGAGACGCTGCTCTCTGCTCTAATCCCTAACAGAGTCCGTGAGCTCAATGAATATTTGTGAGATAAATCAACTGGGGCGGGGGGAAATTTAGTCATTAAGCTAAAAATACTCAGTTTACATAGGATGGATTTACACAGCATTTGTATGGAAACATATGATTTCTATGCCCATGGCAGTGACAATAAAAGAAATAGAAAAGCTACATGTGGATAACATGGTTATCTCTATTGTAAGGGTGGTCTTCAAGGAAACTCAACAAAACAAAAATTTACTGAATTAGATGGAATGGACATATAAAAGCAGTCTACTTTTTAAAACCTGTAACACAAACTTTAACTTTCTAACAACAGCCTTCCTTCAGTCTAAATTAGTGGTTTTACTAATGTACATATTCATAGAATATGTATAAATCATTAGATAAATACAATATATGGTTAACAGAAATTTAAAAAGTGGTAGTGGCCTGTAAATTCACAAAAGCATATATACAAGGTTGAACTAAATTAATAAAGTACAATATGTAAAAAAGTTTCATGTTTGCTAGTAATAACTAACATTTTATAAACATGTCAGAACTATACTAAATATTTTACATACATTACCTCATTTAGTTCCCACAATAATCTTATGAAGTCAGTGCTAACACCTGCATTTTACTAAGAAAACAAATCCTAGACATTTAGTGACTTGGTCAATATCCCAGATTTTATGACAGAACAGGATTGAACAAAGACTGGCTGGACACTGAAATCCACACTTTTAATCTTAAGAATGGAAATATTCCTAAATTGGCATTTTATTCCCTGAGTGAATAGGTTAATCAATAGTTTGATCGATATGCTACATTGGATTAATTCAGCTCTGGGAATTTAGAGTTGAGTATTTCTAGATTGTGAATACCAATGACAAAAGGAAAAGGAAAACAGTTCAAAATCACAGAGTTAGCAAAAAATTTCTCTAAAGCATTGAGATACAGACAAGCAAATCGTTCATTTATTTTATATGCATCTTTCCTTTTTTGTGTGTGATTATCAATCTCCAGATTACTTTTAATTTCAAAGTTTTCTTTGCAGATTGTGGGAATACAAAAAATCCTATTAGTTCTTTAAAAATGCATAATGAATTATAAATAAGTAAAGTGAAACATGAATTATAAATAAGTGGATACATGAACTATTCTTTTCTTTAAAACATGGCTAAGGCAACAACTAAAACGTAACTGTTAAAGCAGTCATTTCCTGAGAGAGTATCTTTCAGACTCAGGGAGACCCAATCCCAAATCCATTTTTAAGTTAAAGAGAGACTGGATTTGATGATACTCTTCCCTTCCTGTCTTTCCACAATGCAAACTTGTGTTTCCCTGTACAATAAGCCTTTTTAAAAGTCTAAGACATCTGTCTGTTATCTGTTACAGATGCAGTCAGTCAGGTCCAGATGTGGGGAAGGCAGTCTTAAATAGCCATTAAACCTCAGTGTAGCGCTGCTAATTTTTTTCAAATAGACAGATCTAATTGAATTAACAGTAAATTCCATTACATTCAGTACAGCTAAAATGCACTAAAAATAATCTACTCAAAGAATTATGTGATCTCTACAAAAACGAGGAGCACACATCATGACAATAAAATTTATTCTGGCTTTCAGAACTTCAGCCTGGAATAGATTATGAGCAAAGTCATAGAAAACTGCATTCTTTGTGCGTAGCCTTAAAAGATATAATTGTCCTGGTGACTAAAATATCAAGTATATACAGGGGCTTCAAGAATTTTGTGGGAAAATGGGATAAAAAGATAATGGCTTCCCCTCCCCCACAAACTTATGGAATTTCCTTGTATATGTTCTTTCCTTCTTTTTTTTATATTCTTAATTATTCTAAATGAATACACGAAATTCAAAGAAATTACCTTGCTTCTGTTCACAGTTCACAGCACAGCCTAAAATGAGTTGAAGCATCCTTCCAAGTTCTGCAGCATCAGAATGCTCCCCAATAAGGTTCACATCAGGAAGGATAAAGTCATTAATTTGCTGTCCTAAAATCTGAATGGAGATTAAAATTTAGAAAGTTTAAAATTGCATTTATGTTTGTTGTTGTTATTGTTAGGTGTCACGGAATCACTTCTGACCCATCGCAACCCTATGTACAACAGAGTAACCAACTGCCTGGTCCCACATTTAGATCAACAGATAAAACACTTGACAGATTTTAGTTTGTCAACACTGTCAAGGGCAGGGATGCTATCTCCATCTCACTCACTGTTTCTATGTCTATTTCTCATACCTACGTTATTGCCACTTTGCATCATAACAACTTACTACTTAGTACTGAGGAGTACTACTATGATCCCTCCTCTACGCAAGAAAAGACTGAATACTCTCTGGAGAATTAGAACCAGAAAGCTTCTGAACAAGGGGGCACCAGAAGCTAAGACTAAAGATAAGTTCACACACACACCACCCCCAACACTAACATTGCTCCTTGTCACCTTCACTCCATCTGAATCCCCAAATGCTGGCAGCAAGACATGTACATCAGAAGACGATTGGAGGATCCCCTGATGGGGAGATTGGCTTTAAAATAAATGACTTATATACAGTCAGAGTTATGCCTGATAGCCTTAGTGGAATTTAACCCTCAAAGAGGAATACCACAAAGAGTCCAATCAGCTTTTTATAGTGCTTTACATTTGAACACCAACAACCAACCAAAGATCAAGACATTAAAGAAAAACCTCTAACATGAAAACCAGATAAGATAAAACAAAGACATTCAGATGAAATCAAATAATACTGGATGTAAAATAAAAGTAATGTTAATCCTGTAACTGGCTACACAGACAGGTAGTAAAACAAGGGAGAAAACCAAAAAACAAACTCACTACCATTGGGTCAATTCGGACTCATGGCAACTCTATAGGGCAAGGAAGAATTGCTCCTGTGGGTTTCCAAGGCTGTAACTCATTACAGGTGTAGAAAACCTCATTTTGCTCCCAAGGGGAGCCTGGTAATTTCAAAGTGCTAACCTTGTGGTTAGCCAAGCAAAACATTACCCACTATGCCACCAGGATCCTTGGAGAAAAATAGTAAGGGGGTGATTATTAAAAAGATCAGAATAGTGTTTTGGCTTTTTTTCTAGGTAGGAAAGGAGAGGGGTTGTGATGAGGAACTTAAAGCATAGGTCTCCTGAGGTGGCAGCAATGTTTTAGTTCATGACTGGGTTGACATGATGAATTTCTTTTACAACTCTTAGGCTGTACACAAGTTACAAACTTTTCTGAATACATTTTTATTTCACTAAGATGCATTTGAATTGTGGTGCTGGAGAAGAACATTGAAAGTACCATGGACTGCTAAAAGGGCACACACATAAATAGGTCTTGGAAGAAGTACGGCCAAAGTGATCCTTAGAGGCAAGGATGGCAAGCCTGCATCTTACATATTTTGGACATTTTCTCAGGAGAGACCAATCCCTGGAGAAGGGCATGATGTTTGGTGGACTAGAGAGGCAGCAAAAAAGAGGAAGGCCCTTGAGTTAGTTAATTGTGCCAGCCTGGCTGATAATCACATGTGGTGCTGGTTGAAAGGCGGAGGGATAAATGGGTGGTGAAGCCTCACCTTTCTAGTTCTCGGGTCTCTTGCTTTGTGATGGTCGCACCAGGATGCAGCTGCCTTAGCAGTTCCCTGCTTCAGCTTGCAAGATTGACGTCCTACAAGACATCCCCAAGGAGAAGCTACATGGATCTATCCCGATGCAGCCCTGGGTGCTGGAGCAGCCATGTGGAGACCCCTGCCAGTGCTGAGATGCTTACACGTTCACTGACTCAGCTTTCCTCCTGCAGTCGGCATTATTGCCTCTGTTTTGTGAGGTGAAGGACTTTGTGGACTGGTGTTGGGTTAAAGGATTAATGTTGGACTTGTGGGCTTGGGCAGCATTGGGTTGGGATGTTTTCGTGATACACATTTTCTTTGTATAAAACTCTCTCTTATACATGAGTTGCTGTGGATTTGTTTCTCCAAAGTACCTAGACTAATACAGCCCTCAAGGAGGCAGACTGACAGCATGGCTGTAACAATGGGCTCAGACATAGGAACAATTTGAGATGGCGCAGCACTGGGCAGTGTCCTTCTGTTGTCCATAGTCGCTATGGTTGAAATGCACTCGATGGCACCTGACAGCAATATGAAAAACTGACGAGGGTTCTAGGAGAAAGACTGCTATTTCAGGTGGTCAAGGAAGGCCTGTTTGCTAAAGCAAAACTGGGTAGAGATCTGAAATGAGGATGTTAACCATCGTTATATGGGGGAGGGGGGGATAAATCAGGGAGAGATTAGTAGGGGGCAAAGTCTTAAGGTAAATGCACACTTGATGAATTCCAAGAACAGCCAAGGTCAGTATAGCTAGAGTGAAGGAGAGGTAGGAAATGAAGAGTTAGGGTTTGCAGGCAGGTCACTTCAGGTCCTTGTGAATCACTTTAAGGATGTGGATTTTATTCTAAATAATATGGAAAGCAAATTGAGTCGAGCACAGAGAAATATACTCCCAATGCATAATAAACTGGATTTTATTTTGTGTATTTGAAAAATAACCTTTAAAAGAATAAACAAGGTGGTGGCGCCCTGGTGGTGTAGTGGGTCACGAGTTGGATGGCTAACTGGAAAGCCAACAGTTCAAGCCCACCAGCCTCTCCAAGGGAGAAAGACGAGGCTGGCTACTTCTATAAAAATTTAGTGTCTCAGAAACCAAAAGGGGCAGCAATTCTGCTATATCTTACAGGGTCACTATGAGTCAGAACTGACTGGATGGCAGTAGGTTAGGTGGGTTTTACAAGGGTATTCACGAAAGTAGTTAACAGTGAGGCCTCCTGGGAAGCCAGCTGGGGTGGAAGGATAAATTGCTTTACACTGCTAATCTTTTTGCTGCTTTTTAGAACCAATCACCAATCCATGTCTTAGGAGTCAGGAAATGAATGAAATAAATTTTGCATAAAAGTAACAAACTCATTAATATTCTCAAAGATAAGAGAAATATTATATTCCTAGAGCAGGAATATATATGAAAGTTACATTCAGAAAACCATTCTCTAGAAAATTAAAAATGTTAGCAGAAATGTAAACTTCAATGAGCCAGCTGAAAGAAAGATGTATAATTATTTGGAAAGTAGAGAAAAAAGTAAGGATAACTAAAGAGGCTAGGAGGTTCAATAGCTGGGTGAGTGTTCTAAGAGATAGAGGGAAGATGTATACAACAATACAATAACGTTTCTTAAAATGAACATTCCGGTTATTCAGATTTTAAGTAAGTGCAAAGCACAATAAAGAAACAAAACAAAACAAACAAAAACACCTCACACCAAAGTACACCCCCATAGACACTGGAGATAAAAAGATCCTACCTAAATGTGTCCAGAAAATGAGCAAGTTACTAAAAAGAGATTGGCAACCCAAATGACAGATTTTCAACAGCAGCACGGGACACTAGAAAGCAATGAAGTAATATTTTCAAAATACTGAAGAGAGAAAAAATATTATCAAACATGCAAGGCCTACACAATTTACCTATCATGCTCCCTTTCTCAAGATGCCACCGAAAATGTGGACCAACAATATAAAGAAACTACTGAAGAGAATTTCATCGGATTCAGCAAATGGAAAACAAACTAGGAGACACATAGAAGTTCCCACAATGAAGGAGAAAGGAAGTGTGAGCATATGAGTTTATTCAAACAAGAACTCTACTGCCATGTTGTTTGCAAACTATAAAAGGACCAGGGTGCGACATACAAGATGAATGAGTACAAGCACAAAGAAGCCCATTACAAATTGTAGTAGGTGTTAAGAAGGAAGAGACCATGAGCTACAAGAGGGAATAAATAAGGAGACTGATAACAAATCATATAGTATGGCCCACTGATTATTTAATGCTCTAATCACTTGTGTTAGTCTGGGTACATTAGAGAAACAAATCTACAGAAACTCATATGTATAAGAGATTTATTCAAAGGGTTAAGTGCACATCAAGAAAACATCCCAACCCAGTGCTACCCAAGCCCACAAGTTCAACATTAGCCCATATATCCGACACCAATCCACAAAGCCCTCCTCCATCTCACAAAGCAAACCGAATGATGCCGACTTCAGAAGAAAAGCCTAGTCGGTGAACCTGTAAGCATCTCAGTGCTGGCAGGGGTCTCCACACAGCTGCTCCAGCACCCAGGGCTGCACTGAGGTAGGTCCATGTGGCTTCTCCTCAGGGATGTCTTGCTGGAAGTGAGCCTTGCTAGCTGAAGCAGGGAACTGGCTAAGGCAGCTGGACCCTGGTCCAACCATCACAAAGCAGGAGACCCGAGAACTAGAAAGGCGAGGCTCAATGAGCCACTTATCTCTCCACCCTTCAATTAACCCCACGTGTTTATCTGCCAGGTTGGCACAATAAAATTTATCTCATCACTTAATCATCAATTACACACTCAACCTCTTTCCTATAATCATTACGAGTAATTACAAGTATAAATTGTTTTTTTAAGAGAGCATATGGGAAATTTCAAACACATTAAATTATGCTCTGAAGCGGAATTTTCCCTTTGTTGAGCACTATCTATGGGGCTGTGGATAGGAGTTGTGCAGTCACCCCGCCTCATGGTGACCCAGTGTACAACAGAATGCAAAGCTGTCTGGTCCTGCATCATCCTCACAATTGTTATATTTGTTATATCCCAATTGATAGATTGTTGCAGCCACTGAGTCAATCTATTTCTTTCAGGGTCTTTCTCTTTTGCAAGGACCCTCTACTATAGCAAGATGTCCTTTTACAGGCCTGGTCTCTTCTGACATGTTTAAAACTACATGAGGTAAAGTCTCACCATGCTGGCTTTTAAGGAGCATTCTGACTGTACTTCTTGCAAGACGGTAGATTTGTTTGTTGCTCTGGGTGTCCAGGGTACTTTCATTATTCTTCACCAACACCATCATTCATATACATCAATTCTTCCTCCGTCTTCCTCATTCACTGTCTAACTTTTGCATGCAGACGAGCCATTGAAAATACCATGGCTTTGGTCCACTGACTTTGTGGCGGTGTTTTCGCTCTGCTTGTTTTTAGGTCAGGTGCACCTTAGTCCTCAAAGTTACATCTTTGATCTTCAGCACCTCAGAGAGGCCTTTTGTAGCAGGTAAGACTGTCTGATTTCTTGACTGCTGCTTCCATAAGCAGTGACTGCCCAGTTGTGAGGATTTTTGTTTTCCTTGGAAGAAGTATAATCCATACTGAAGGCTGTAGCCTTTGATCTTCTCAGCAAGTGCTTCACACTCTCTTTGCTTTCAGTAAGCAAGGCTATATCATCTGCATATTGCAGGTTGTTAATGAGCCTTCCTCCAATCCTTAGGTCACATTCTCTTTCATATAGTCTAGCTTCTCCGATTATGAGCTCAACATACAGACTGAGTTTAAGTGTGGTGAAAGGACCCAACCTTTACACACACCTCTCCTGATTCTAAAACATGAAATACCATATATACTCGAGTATAAGCCAAGGCACCTAATTTTACCACAAGACTGCATTGAAAATGGCTTATATATGAGTATATACAGTAATATCCCTTTGTTCTGTTCAAATAATTGACTCCTGGTGTAAGAATGGGTGCCACATGAGCGCAATGAACTGTTCTGGGACTCCCATTCTTCCCAATGCTATCTGTTGTTTGTTACAATCCACACAGCTGAATGCCTTTGTATAGTCAGTAAGACTCAAGTAATACACTTTTCTAGTATTCTCTGCTTCAGTTAAGGTCCACCTGACATCAGCAATGACAACTCTAGTTTACCAGCATGGACTACATAATGCTAATTTGTGCCACAGGGTTACACTGGTAGGCCTAAATCCATGAGACTGCCATGGAAAACGTCAGGTAGGTGAGATAGGGGCAGGCAGGAGAAAGAAGACAACAAAAATGAAACACACACACAAACATTTGTATCTCAGTTTCTTATCTGTAAGATGTGGTTAACAGGATTGACTTCATATGGTTAGAGGTAATACCAAGCTGAATATAATAAGACTCATGACAGCTACTGCCACCAAGCCAATTCCAACTCATAGGGAGCCTATCTAGGGATTCCTACACTGGAAATCTTTACCAGAGCAGACAGCCTCATCTTTCTCCCACTGAGCAGCTGGTGGCCTTGAAACAGCCACTTTACAGTGAACAGTCCAATGCTCACTCAATAGCTCCACCAGGACTCCAGTGACTCATGATGACAACACTCCAAAAAGCAGTTCTGAAATATTATCTTTATTACCACGTATTTTCTATTCCTTTTTTATTGTAGTCTTTCAGGGAGTTACCATTTATCCTTTACAAAATGAACATGATGCTTACAAAAACAATAATCACATCTTCTAAACCTGATAGATCTACTAATATTCACATTTATACATTTCAAGTTTCACATTTTTCTCTTCTTATCTGAAATTATTACACAGTAAAACTACGAAAGCTATCACCCTGTCCCAGGAGGAAAACGCAAACGTTTCCCATTACTAAATAAAGTGACAGAATAGTGACTGTACTGCGTCAAAGGAAGAATATTTGCAAGGCTCTGCAAAATGAAACAATCTTCAGCCTGGTTCTCAGAGGTCTCACTGTGCTTATGTGATATGACAGGAAATTTCAGAGTGCCTACTGTATGGCAGCACTGTGCTTAGGAGGGATGTACCAGTAATTACAACAGGTCTGGCCCTAGCTTCGTTTCATGGCTTGTGTTAGTTACATAACCTAGTGCAGGGGTCCTCAAACTTTTTAAACAGGGAGCCAGTTCACTGTCCCTCAGACCATTAGAGGGCCAGACTGTAGTTTAAAAAAAAAAATCTAAGAACAAATTTCTATGCACACTGGACGAGTTGGCTGCTAAGCAGGGCAGGCAGCGGCGGCAAAAACACCCGGCAGGCCGGATAAATGTCCTTGGTGGGCCGCATGTGGCTCTCAGGCCATAGTTTGAGGACCCCTGATCTAGTATCAATTTGACAATTAAGGGTGTAGGGGTGGAGGCTAGCCTGTCAATCAGGATATAGCTAATGAGGCCTGTGTGGGCATGGCCTTTTCCCGAGGATTCTGGGAACTCCTGTATTTCCTCCTTGGAGGTGGGAAACACTCTCTCTCTAGGCTCACTCCCTGCGACACATCCCCGAGGAGAAAGCACACAAAGAGAGGCTGATGGAGTCAGACCTCTGGAGCTGCAGGAACCACATGGACAGCCCTGCCAGAGCTGAGATGCTTACAACGCCACTGGATCCACAAGACTTCCCACCCACTGGCCTGTGATCTTCCAGCATCTGGCATCATTGCATGCGTTTCCAGAGTCTGAAGAGGACTTTCTAAATTGGTATTGCACATATGGGCTAATATTGGACTTATGGACTTGATCTGGACTGGGCTGGGATGTTTTCTCAATATTCAATGCTCTTGTATAATAAAGCTCTTTCCTACACACATGAGTGTTCCTGGATTTGTTTCTCTAGCCTACCCAGACTAACACATGGCTCTAATAATATAATAAATCAACAAGTAAAAACACTGATGCTGTGACTAGACTTTAAGAGAACAAGCGGGGTGATGTGACAGAAAATGGGGATGGGAATGAAAATACTGCACCTGAGTCAGCATGTGCTAAGGGCAAAGCTCTCCACATTGGTAGGCGTGATCTGAAAGATAAGCCTAACAAGAAGTGAGGGAAGGCTAGTCTATACATGAGAGCTGCAAGCGTAAAGGCCCCAAGGAAGAAAAGCTCTTGGCATGTTTGATAAAGAGAAGGAAAATGAGCACGGCCAGTGTTATGGATGAGGGGGACATGAGTGGATGAGGAGATAAGAGGGATTAGGTAGTACATTCCGGGTCACGAAACGGGATGCGGACTGGATTTTCATTGGGACACCAATGAAGACTTAAAGGAGAACAGTGACAGGATCTGATTTGCCTTTTTAAAACGTCAGTCTGGCTTTTAAGTAGGGAACAGGTTTCAGAGGCACGGGGTGGACTCGGGTTCCGCAGTCTGACTGCCTAAATAACCTAAGCAAGAACTGATGATGGTTTAGTCTAGGGAGCTGGTGACACAGATAGAGAAACCTGTAATTCTAGAGGCTTGCCCAGTAGGTTTCACTGATAATATCAAAAGAAGGATGGTGTGCAAACAGATTTCTAGGTTTTGAGCCTGAGTTGCTGGGTGCACGGTCCACTTACTGAGATGAGCACAAGTGTGAGTAAAATGTAGGCAAGGCTGCACATTTCATGTGGGGAAAACATTTAAGAGTCCCTGGGAGATGAATGGTGGGCAGAGGAATGGCAGGGAGGCTGAAAGGGAGGAAATGTATGAGGCAGTATTCTCAGAGAGTAGGAAGGAAATTAGGGAAACAATGTAGTTTCCCAGGCAGTATCGTGTCCATTTTACATCTGAGACCACGAAATTAAAAGTGAAACTAGCTAGATCCCTTGCTTGTTTATTTTTCTTTCCCTAGCTGCGTCTGACTGCACTGAGGTGGACTCAGAGGAGCTGAGTCCGCACGAGGCTGGGACTCTGACAAGGAATAACATGGAGGCAGGCGAGGAGCTAATGAGAATGATGAACTATAGAACTAAGGAATGGCTGAGAGAAATGGCACAAAAGACTGTAAAATTCAACATAAATTAGTAATCATCTACAAACTATTCACAGTGAAAGCGATTTTGAACCAAGATCTTACAAAATATATCATAGACAAAGTGATTATGATTTTGATGGCAGATGCTTATTAATTTGGAACTGTTATAAAATTAAACTAAACTAGTGTGATATTTTAATATAGAATGAAAAAAAAGACATTACCTCATGATTGTAATCCAAGATTCCTTTTAAAATTTTCTTTAAGTTGCTTATCTGTTTAAAGAGAAAGAAGGCAACTAGATAAAAGGCACGTGCAGATCAAAGTGTATTTTAACATTCACATTTTCTGAGTCAGCCAATCATTCACGCTAATCACAATAGACTTAAAAAATAAAAAATAAATATATTTGAATCACCATCATCAAAACAAAGTACTGTACTTTTTTTCAAACAATGCATTCACATATATAATACCTGCTATGCATGCTTACCAAAGTAGTTTGCCTGTGGTGGGAGCTGTGTGCTGACAAAAATGTACACTGAATGTTAATTTGCACAAAAATGCAGTACTGGCTTAAGGTATTTGATACTAACATTTATAAAACAAATTACACTTTCTGTTATGCAAAACTTTCAACATTATGACTACATTAACAAAAATGGGAGTAAATGGAATGTGAATTAACAGTAAGACTAAATTATTCAGATGTTCTGCAAGTAAAGAAAAGGAAGAATGTCATCATTAATGAAGATTTCAGTTCACTGCTGCTGCCCCTAGAAAAGTAGAGTTGCATTTTACAATGAGATTAAAATTATAAAGCCAAAGAACTAAACATAAATCATGGTCAAAATTACCCAAGGAAGCTCTTCAAACCACCCACAAACTAATCATCAAGATTCTCCATGGCCAGAATGTCATTCTGTAGTTCGTATCAAACATTATTGGTGAGTGGGCTTCAAAAAGTTCATGGGGAAGGGGGAAAAAAATCCACTTTTTAAACTTCACTATTTGAAGCTTCCTTGTATTTAAGAGCCATTAGGTTAGAAACATTGTTGTATCTTGAAAACCTGGAATAACACTCAGCAGCGCATGGTGTGTGTTCTAGAAGCACCAACTGAGAAATAAGGCAGTCTGAGGCAACAACACACTGATGCCTCCCAACATACTCCCTCCACAACAGAACCACGGAATGCATCAGGACGCCTTCACTAGCGCTCCAAACGGTCAACGCTCTCCCTGCTGTGCATCAACTCATGCGGTTGGATTTGTGTTTAACTTAATAGGTACAGTATGATTCTGTTGACCATTCTACCCAGACTTCTCTGGCTAGTGTGAGCAAGTTAAAGCTGTCTTAGAACAGAAGACTGTAGACGGTTTTATTTGTGGCTATCAAATAAAATAGGCTAAATCATAAGTGTAATTTAGTGAATAATCAAAGATACAATCATTTTTAAGACAGAATGCAACTTAAAAACTAGCTTATTTATAAATATATACATAGAACTTCTCAGAATGTTAACATGTCTTTACTTTTGAAACTATTGGGACATGGAAAATATATAATTTATAATTTTTAGCCTCAGATTTTTTTCCCTTAACATTTGAAATTAAAATATCATAAAAATCAGTGCTCATTTAAAATAACTAGATCATCATCCCTCACAAAAAGTTATATATTAATGACATTTTTAATAAGAAGAAATGTGATCAGGTAAAAGAACTGCGGAACAAGAGTACAAATCAGAACTGAAAAATGTTACTAACATTAAGAGTATGATAAACTTTTCTTCTCTTGTTCTTATTACTATCACTGCCATAAGTCTTCACATGACATGAAGACAATGTGTATGCATTTGTGTGTGTGTGTGTGTGTGTGTGTGAAGGGAGTGAATGTAATTGTTTCGGTAAAAGCAGCAAGCAAATACAAATGATGACTAGTAGATCATTTTAAGCATATGCTATGACTTTATAAGGTAAGTATTTTAAGTACCTAAACTTGAAAGACGGATATTAGAACAGCACCAGCAGACAGTTCCCAGTCATACTGTGCTAGTAAAAAAGTAGGAAATAGATTTTGGCAGATCCAATACTAAGCAATCAATAGGCACTTTTCTTTAATAGATGTTATGTGGGGAAACCCACGTATTTACTCAATTGCATTTCTGCGTACACATCAGCCTATACACAAATGAAATGCCTCCAGGATTTTCTGAACTAATGGCGTGTCCATTATTGGGCAGTAACAAGCAATGTCACAATATCATAAGCATGAAGGACAAATTAGGGTTGCCAGAGATGACAGATGAGGAGTGGAATGGATGTAACTACACAGGCAACACCACAAAACCTCGAGGTGCTGGAATAATTCTGAATCTTGACCATGGTGGGGAACAACTATACATTTAATACAACTACACAGAACTCTGTACACACAAATGAATTGTGTGTAAAGGTGAGATCTGGGCCAACTCTGTGGATTGTACTCATGTTAAGTCCCTTGTTTTGATACTGTATCAGAGTCATATGAGATGCTACCACTGGAGACACTGGTGACAGGTACATGAAATCTCTCTGTACATTAAAAAAAATTTTTTTTACAATTTCCTGGGTATTGACAATCATTTCAAATTATAAAATTAAAAAAAATTTAGTGGATACCAACTAATATTTTCCAAAACAAAATTTAAAACATCCCTGTATAAAGCAGCAGTTCTCAACCTGTGGGTCGTGACCCCTTTGGGGGGGTCAAACGACCCTTTCACAGGGGTCGCCCAATTCATAACAGTAACAAAATTACAGTTATGAAGTAGTAACAAGATTAATTTTATGATTGGGGGGTCACCACAACATGAGGAACTGTATTAAAGGGCCGCGGCATTAGGAAGGTTGAGAACCACTGGTATAAAGTAAGGGTAAAAACTTGTTTCAACTACATATACATTTAAGTGGGTGGCAGATTGTAATGAAAATTGTATTTCTTATTGTGGGATTTTTGGCCCAGAGCAGCTTGAGAAATACTATTAATATTACTAGAAAGGAAATAAAAATGTTTTACTCTTATACAATATCAAAGGCATATGTCTGACTTGAAGTTAAAATTTTGAAAATAGATCCCCCCTATGTTGCAGGCTGGACCTGATCTGGTTTCCAAATTTTTCTGTATTTTTGGTTTAGGTTTTGTTTGTTCATATTTAGGTGTATATCAGAGGTGTTATGTCATTGGAGGCCACCCTCTGGAAGCTGTTATATGCTTTTCTGGTTTTGGGTATATGAAACCCAGGACTGATGAACCTACAGGGGCAGCAAGTAGAATATGGGGTTCTGAGTACAAGAGTGGTGGGGGTATGGTGTCAAAGGGAGATAATGTCAAGGAGTCCATGTAGAAAAAGAATGTGGTAGCAGTTGTATAATTCTACTTGATAATATTGAAATATGGAATGATATATGTATTAAATCCAAATAAATAAAAGGTTCATCAAAAGAGAAAAAAATCTTCACTCTATGAGGGTTTTATATAAAGATCAGTATGGTTTTTATTATTAACAACATGAGTTAACTAATGCATCCATGTGCCATGCACTATTCTAAGTGCTTTATATATATTAACTCACTTACTTCTGTGAGGTAAATCCTATTATAACCTTCATTATGCAGATAGGAGTGCTGAGACCCAGGAAGGTTAAACAACTTTTCCAAGGACAGTCCACGGCCACAGGCACTCTGGCTCTAGTGTCCATGCACTTCACTACAACACTGACTTACAGTATTTCTTGGTGAGAAACTTTAGGTTAACCTCAATTTTCAATTCTACACTATTTCACTACATGCTGCTTAAGTTTCTAAAGCTAACTGGTCAGGAGGCTGAAAATCAGCAGGCATTATTCACATTACTATTACATTATTATTATTATTACATTATAACACATTATTATTATTACAAATGTGTAAGGAGGATCAGTTGGAAAAAATAAAAAGAAATACCTTTAGTCTCCAATTATCTCCCACTTCCGTTTTGATTCTGTTTAGCCAATTCTCATCAAAATATACAGGATCTCTGCAAGTAAGCAAAAAGTAGTATAGTAAGGATCATATCGTTATGAACAAAAACAGAAATTAAAAATTAAAACCCATCCCATATCTTCACTTAATGCAAACACAAAAATGCATTTGCCACATATCACCTACTACATAACTCAATGCATGAGACCAGATTGCAGGTACAAGTCACCTCTAAAATTAGCTTATTAGTACATTAAAAAAAATCTATCAAAAAACAAATAAAAGGTGAAAAATGATAACATACAATGAGTACATTTTTATTTTCAAATAGAAGTTTATTCTCCTCTTTTTTAAAATCATTTTATTGGGGGCTCATACAACTCTTATCACAATCCATACATACATCAATTGTGTAAAGCACATTTGTACATTCATTGCCCTCATTATTCTCAAAACATATGCTCTCCACCTAAGCCCCTGGCATCAGCTCATTTTCCCCCTCCCTCTCTGCTCCCCCTAATGAGTACATTTTAAAAACATAGTTCAGCATACTAATAAGGGATTACTATATTACAGATACACTATATATAAAATGATGAAATATTAATTAGTTTAGAGAGGTCAAAACAGTATACTAAGAAGGCTGGAATGAGCTTTTTAGTTAATGTTTCAGTGACCTCCATCATGCATTATTTAAAAAGTCACCAGTAGTGTCATGAATATTTCACCTAACATCAACTGAAAATCTATTTTCTAAGTTGCAGTACAAGGTATTAAACAAAGTTGGACACCCTTTTCGCCTGCAGAACTGTCTTAATACTGGTGTACAAAACCCCACTGAAACATAAATACAACCTAGATACCTCCTGTACTTCTTTTTCTTACTCATACTTCTGTGGACTATTTAAAAGGAAAACTTTAAGTCTAATACAACCCTCATTTTAAAGATTTTGAAACTTTTTTTCTAAGAAATTATTTGTCTAATACTACAACACCTATACCTGTCATTCTCTAGCAATTTCCAAGTCCAAAAAGTTTTCTCTAACACCACAACTATTTCTATTTGCCCCAAACCAGGAAATGGAAATAAGGGGAAAAAATCACACATACACACACACACTCTCTCTCTCTCTCTCTCACACACACACACACACACACACACAGAGAGAGAGAGAGAGAGAGAGAGAACACGAGCTTCAGGGAAAAAATTCATAATCTCTTAATTCCATTTTTCCATGAAAAACTTGAAACCCCCTCATATATTATTATTGTTAGGTGCCAACTAAGTTCTCACTCATAGTGAGCCCATGTATTTCAGAAGGAAACACTGCCCATTCCTGTATGATTGATTCTCACAGTAACGGCTACGCCCATTATTGCAGTACGATGTCAATCCACGTCAGTGAGGGTCTTCTGTCCTGCTGTCCCTCTAAGACAAAAGCTCCTTATCAGACACAGGATGGGCAAACATTTCCTCCCATTGTGTCAGCTGTCTTTCCCCTTTCTTGATGGCAGTACAAAGGTGTTTTTAAATTTTGAAAAAGTCCAATTGATATATTTTATTTCATTTATCACATGGGCTTTTGGTGTATCAAAGACATGTTTGCTTATCCAAGGTCATGAAGACTTATGTCTCTTTTCTTCTAAGAGTTTTACAACTTTAGCTTTTACACTGAAGCCTGTGCACGGTCCAGAAGGGATCTAACTGTTCTTTTGCATGTGGATATTCATACTCATCTACCTTTATTTTAAACTTAACCTAATATGTTAGTCAAAGTTCTTTTGCTATTAAGAAACAGATTGATTTGAGCAAGATTATACACAAAAAGGTTACACTGGTATCACACTGAGATATTGTGAAGTAGAGAAAATCTGGGTCTCACGAAGTATGTGAACAAGAATCTAGAAAGCTGTCAGGAGTCCAAACAGTACTCTCTTTCTGACTTTCATCTTTGTTTCTTTTCTCCACTAACACCACTTTTTCCCTGCAGACCAACTTTTTATTTTTCCATAAACAATGACAAAGACCTTCTAAATTTTCATCACACCGGTTGTGGGACCAGCTATCTGTTGGTCCCAAATACAAATCCCCAGATCATAGCAATGATCCAGGTACTGTCTGTTTTCATCCCTTGTCTAATTACATAGGGCCACAAGAGCGGCATCTGCAAACAGGACACCCGCAATTTCTGGAGGAAGAAGCGCCACACTGGGCAGGAGAAGAGTGAGGTCTCAGAGAATGGGACTGTCACAAACTGCACAAACATCCCCCAATGTCTCCTATTTTCCTACAACTGTTTGTTTAAAAAAAAAAAAAAAAAAGGTAATGGAAAGTAAATGAACTGGAAGCAAATCCTACTGAAATACTTCCAAATTATAAAAATGAATTTAGAGGTTAAAAAATAGTCAAGGTCTTTGGATATTTAATCTAAAAGGCATCATCACTGACAGTGAAAGATTAAGCTTTCTCACCCCAAAAGCCTCACCACAAACTTCAAGACAACCTGTGAATTTGGGGCTCTGTGGCTGATAATTACCCGAACTTGCTAAAAACCACGCCAAACTAGCTACCACTGAGCTGCCTCGCCTTACAGGACCGCATGTGTTTCAGAGGAGAACTGGGTTGTGCACCTGCTCAATGCTGTGATCTTTCAGAAGCAGGCTGTGTGCCTTTCCTCTTAGGTGTCTTCCAGTGGGTCTGACTCACCCACCTTTGGTTGGAGTCAAGCTCTGCAGTGAGTTCCCAGCGAGCAGTAATTCAGGGTCACACTGCTAAAACAGACTTACGTTTTACAAGAAAGCCCTTAATTTATTTATTTTTTAAAAAAACTTTGAAATGGCTATGAAATTATATATGCCAAGAATTCCAAGATTATGAGATACTTTACTTGCAATTTAGAACTACACATCATATGAATATAAGACCTTAGAGAAGTCTTGATCAAATGTTTAAAATCAGGCATTACAAACAGTTTTCCAATTCTCATCAGTGATATGCTAGGCACTGAAATGGGCCCTCTCAAGTCACAAAATGTAACAGGAAGTTATTCCTATGCTTGTAACATAGTTAAGAATCAATAAACTCAAAAAGCAAGTAATTTTCCTGAATTTATTTATAGAGTAAGTGAGAGTTGGTAGTACATTTTTATTACAGCAGACCATAGAGTTCAACTCCTAACTGGTTATCAGTAAAACACTAAAGTCCTATGGGTAATTACGTAGATCCTTTATACCTGTAAACTAGGACATAAGAAGAAAACAACAATCACTGTTCATGACGTTCTCACCAATGCCTCACATCTAGCACAGAGCAAGTGCTCTCTCCATATTTGTAGAGTGAACTGCAACATTTGAAAAGTGATGCATTTTGACTTAAGAAACTTGTCATCTACTACTTAGGCAGAACATACCAGTAGCAGCAGAATCTACTCTTCTCAAATCCAATCTATTGCTAATAATAAACTTTGACTTAATCTATAGGCAAATGACCACAACTTCTGTAGTTTACAAATTTCAGCAGTGCTCTCTAAGTGGCCTTTAGTTAATGTTCTCAGCCTTGGATCAAGGAATATAACATTTCTTTACAATCTTAATAGATTATGGGCCTGCAGTGATATGCGAAGACCAAGTGGTAATCTCGCTAGGGCATTCTTCCTGAGTAAGAGGCTATTTTTAGCACCTGACTA